GTTAAAATAGTCACGCGCCATCAATTCAACTGTTAACCATGTCAATATGATAATGACCAAATGTTGTGCAATAATGTAAATTCAAGATAACGCTTTTCTTAGGTAGCTTATATTTTGTATTTGTAATATCTTTAAATCAGATTGAACACTATAATATAATTGTACCTAGTTTCTTTTACACTTACCTAGTGGGAAAATAAGTTGGGCTGGGCTAGGTTAGTTCAAGATAAAAGAAATTAGGGCCTACATTTTTTACAATAAATAATTCACCCCACGTTATAGACATAGTACTGGTCACCAGACAAGATTCCAGTCTAGAAGTTTTTTTGTGTGTTTTTCTTGTACTGTAATAATTAATTTATTACAGCTGTTATTTCCTAAGGGAGTATGTTTTTATCTATGTTATTACTAAGGATTAAAAATTATTGGAAATTATAAAATTAAAAACAGTATAAATCAGTGTGAGTTCGGATCCTGGTCACTGCCGAAAACATTTTATCTATCAGTTCAGTTCACCTTTGTACTGTACCAGCTCACCCCTTGCTTTAGGCCGCCAACATCTTAAAAAATCTCCAATGAGAATCGTTTACCTAAAAATTAAAAAAATACAGATAACAAGTTAGGCCTGATTTAGTTTATGTGAGTCATATAACAATTAATATCAACATGTGTCACTCAGATAGGCTATCACTGGTTGTCAGGGTTACCACCAGAAACAGTGTAATATTTCCCTCTAGGTATTGTGAGCATATGTCAGAAGTATTATTGTAGAGAAAATGGGCGCAAAAAATTTAACACATTTATAACAAAATATACTACGAGAAAGGTGTGAGTGGTCAAAGTGCCTAAAAGCACTGAGAACCTAAATTAAGCCTTGCACACAATAAAGGCTAAATTTCTCTCCAATTTGTAGGATTGCATTTTTGATAAATTCCATAAATAGTGCTGGGAAATTTTGTTCAGAACCAACCAAAGTACTTCTACCACCTTTCTAAATTTGTTCTGGCAGTGAATAACAGTTCTCTTGATGTAGGAACTGTCGATAATCATTAGTTTTATCAGCCAAGTAAACCTGGAATGTACAGTGTACAGTAGATACTCTAATCTCTGACTATTGAGAATGGAATGTAAGAATGCAAGGACTCACTGCGCTTTGCTGCCTTGCACTTTGAATGGACCTGGCTTTGATGCAATACTTGACATTTTGAAAACTTGGCATTTAAAAATGTGAAATATGCTGGAAAACTCGGTCGATGTTGAACGTCCACCACAATGAAAAACAGAGTGTGATATTATTGTTGGAGTATTAAATTTTTATTACCAAAATTCAATTAGGGTCTCAACTAATTCATGATCTTTAAAATGTAAGAAGGTTTGTGTCAAAATACCTAAGTACTACAAAATAAATTAATTGTAAGGTTGAATAATTTATAACTTTAAGAGTAAACTTTCAACAAAATTAATATATAATTTCCAAAAAAGAAATTCAGTAAATCATATGAATAAAAAAAAAACAATAATTTTATTGATAACAATAAAAATGTTCAGTGTTTGTAATTAGTTATTGTAATAATAATTAAGCCTCATTACATGTGGTTTTCCAGATTTTCTAGTAAATATAAAAACGCCTGCACATGCAGACTATTAGATTATGCATATTGTAGGCTTCCCATCTCACACACTCAGTGGAGTGGGGAGAATTTGTGGTGGAACTGGATCTGATGTTGTGTTAGACGTCATCCTGCAATCAAAAAGGGATTTGAAAATCGTAACCACAAGCTATACACAAGCTATAGTTTTTATCTCAGAAAAATAATCAAACATTATATTTTTCATAAATTAGGCCCACTAGATGGTCTCAAACTTACGCTGATTCCGAATCTGAAACGTAAAAAACTGTTAAAAGAAATTAAACTTAAAAATTCAAATGAGATACGGTAGCTCTTAACACCTTTACTTACTAAAAACTGACTTCTGTGCTACATTATTGAATGTATAAGAACCATCAATTATATTAAAAGAACAATGATTATGAAGAAACTCCATAGGTAGAGTCCAGTCAATGAGTAATGAAGATTTCATAGGTCAGAATTCCCTGTGAGATATATTTACAACACTCGTAATTGATAAGCTTATTTTTTAAAATTATTGGGAATGTTCAAAGTTAAAGGGTTGCAGGTCTTGGGCACAAAAAAAATCAAGTTACTGTAACTTGGTTGTGCCATAACAAAGTTGTTCTACCTAGGTGTTAGTTGTTATAGTAAGAGAAATAACAATTAGATAGAAAGTTCATTTTCCCTGGTCCTGTTACTGTCAAACGACCTTTTGTTAGCGTCATTAATTAACAATCCCTGACAATTAATTGCAACTGGCTTCCTTAATCAACCCTTTACAACCAGTCTTCTCATGTTTCTGCCCCAATGTGGAAAATTACAAAACAAAACATTTTACACTTAGGTGCTCCATAGTAATATATTTTCTTACAAACTGTCCATATTTTCTCCAATTTCGAAGACTCAGACTGTGACAAAGGCCTTGTTTGTAGCGCCTTGGTTGATTAGTTGACAGTTGATAAACAATCTTATTTAACCTCAAACAACAACTAGTTGTGTATTGGAAGTAGGATATTGAATCTCAGGACCCAAAGATGTAGGATGGGAAAAATATTTATATAAATTCCTTGAATAATGTCGTTCATTAACAAAATAATAGGCTTCAAAACATTTATTTTGTCATTTTCCTTTTTGGTTGATTTTAAAAAGAAGGTGGTAAAAAATTAATTTGTTAAAATCCATTGTTTCATTTAAATTTTTTGTTGTTGCGTGTAAAAAGAAATGTACGGTCAACATCTATTTCCAAATTTTTATCCACCAATATATATGTATGTTTTTGCAATATTCACACCGTATATCCTGCAGCTAGGAAAACCTACCTTTCAGTGACATAATGTTTTTGTGTTGATCTTTTGGAAGCAAAGTAATCTTTTCATCCGAAGATTTGGAAAGTCTTTCTACGCTTTATTTTTGCCAACCAACAGCCTTGTAAATTATCTCAGCCCCTCTGACGATACAAAATGAGAATTTAATTGTGTTGTTTGGTACGTTTTTGATTTAAACTCTTGTAACTGTTGTCCAGACTAAACAATCTGTTGATATAATGATTTAGAAGTTTATGTTATGCTACAAACACTCTGTTTATACTTTTGTTTTTTTTTACGAAAGTTTCCATTGGAATGTTATAGAACTAACATATTTAGGACTGGATATTTTTAGATTTACCATACAAATTTTTGTGTGGTGAAGTTAAAAAATATAAATAGGCCTAACTATCCAAATCTTTCCAAATACCAAAAAAAATGAATTAAACATGTCTTTATAAGAATAATTCTTCAAGGAAATAAACTGTGTAAATAAAAACGAATACTAGGTAACCATTGAGTTTATAAGTTAATTATTATCATGCTTGGATAGGATTACATCGAGTACATTGATAACCCTTTAGTTACACAACATTTATACCAAAAGATGTGTGAATTTTCATTGATCTAAGCAGTGTATATTTTTTTACGTATTATCATTGATTATAGTCAATGGTGGTATTATTCTTATAACATTGCACATGCCTCCCTTTCCGTTTAATGTTTTTTGGAACTAAATTAAATTTAATGCTAAAAGTAATGCTTTAAAATTGGTTAAATTTATACTACGATGTTGATGTCTTAATACGTCCATCTTATAGTAAAGAATTGAATAATTTGATCTATTCATAAACCTATCCTTCCATTTTGGTTGTTGTGTTACGGGTAACAAAAATGCAGTAATACAGAAACAGAGTAAAGACGTAAAAGTTTTCTCTCTGATCAGTTTGGACACATAACATAACACCTCAAAGTGTGTTTGTTATTCTAAATAGGACACCATGTATATTTATAGTTTGGACTATCTGTTTTTATCTGCTGTGTGTTTATATTGGCTAACAAGCAAAGCCATCTGTTTTTGTAACCTGGAGTTTATTGGCAGATCCAATCGTTGTAACTATTTGGTTATAACCTTTAGTCAATGGTATAACCATAGGTATAACACTGTAATACACAATAAGAAACTAAATATAATTTAAACTATATTTATTTGATATGACTTTATGTCTAGATTTATATTTTAACAGAAAGTAAATAAAAGAAATGTCTTTTAACACTTAAAACATATATTTACGCTTATACTGTTACTCACACGCTTATACTGTAAATATACATAAACAATGGTAAGTGGTGATCGATTTTGATTGGACACTCCAATCATCATCAGACCCAATGAATCTCGAATGGCGTCCCTACTTATATCCTATTGGCTGACGGAAGTACCAGCCAATACATTTCTATAAGTACAACTGGAGTCGAAATTTACTTGTTCATTAATTAGCTTTTTTTCCATTTTTACATTTTTCCTTATAAATATATAACTCTTCCCAAGTATTCATTACATGTCCTTTTTTACAATTCTTTAAAATACATAGACTATCCTCCATTTTTCCTTTTGAGTGGCCATTTTGTAACAGGTGTTGTGCGATATTTGATCTTTCAGGTTTGTTGTTCCTCCACGCAGATATGTGGTTTTTGAAGAAGTTAACAAAGTTTACAGTCTGTGCAATGTAGAAGCTATATCACAATCGCTACAATTGATATTGTAGATGCCCGAATCATCGAATTTGTTACAATCTTCTATTTTGGGATGCAGTATTTTGCTCACGCATGAACTCAGAAAGCCATTTATGAATTACCTAATGACTGGTGATTCAAGGTTAGCATCATCCTACTATAGTTTCACTGGTTTCACACATAGTTGTATTATCTTCCAAAGTAGGTAAATCTCTTTACAACCATTCAACAGTCAAAACGTGGAAATGATAAAGATAAAAAAGTGCTACGAATGTTATGATCCAGAGGCGATTCTATAACTCAACAAAATTTTTCAAACACTTTATGATTTTTATTATTTTTGCAGAACTCATTTGGCCGTCCTGACGACATTGTAGCCGCTGAGACGTTGGCCAATCATATGAGATGCAACGATAGCTTCGTCCATATGGTGTTCCAAGCCCAGGTGAGATAACCAAACTTCATATAATGTAGAATGTAACATGTAATAGCTTGTTATAGTTCGGCCGCTTAGAAAACGACCTGCGCGCTAATGCTAAACGAATGCTGGAGGAGGTCGCTTTCTATGCGGCCGAACTATAGTTGTTGTAAGCATTGACTGAAAGTATATAGTCAGTACTGTAGTTATTTTTTAGTGAATTTGATGTTGAATAACCAAAGAATACTTCTATGATTGTCTTTCTTAGTATTGAATTCTCCATTAACTTTGTTTTCGATTCAATCATTATTATACCCTGATAAAACAATTTAACTTGGATTAAGAAAATAATTCTGTTCTTCAATGTTTTCCAATTGCTTTCAAAACCATCCAATGCTACCTTAGTCTACATTTTTTGTGATCATAAACAATTAAGGGAACAGGCTAATAAATAACAAGTGAATCCCTTTGTTTCATGAGAGAAGTTAACCTCTGTTTTATTTGCAGTTCCGCTCGTCACTGACGTGTCCGCGCTGCAAGAGACAGAGCAACACGTTTGATCCGTTCCTGTGTGTGAGTGTTCCCGTACCTCAGGACCAATACAAGGCTGTTATAGTGACTGTTCTGTATACCAACCAACAACCCAGACAGGTCAGTTACTAAGTCAGACAAAAACAAACCAACATAGGAATTGTACCTGTCTACATTTAAGGCCCGAGTGAATATACTTGAAAATATATGAGTGAATATACCTGAAACTGTATGAGTGAATATACCTGAAAATATATGAGTGAATATACCTGAAACTGTATGAGTGAATATATCTGAAAATATATGAATGAAGTTACACAACCACAGTAAAACCTTTATTTACTGCAATGAAAGGGGATTTCCAGTTCAAAGAGATCTAAAACATTAGATGTTAATGTTATTTTAACTTAAGTCATTGTAAAGTTTAGAACTGTATAAAAAAATAATTAAAACAATTGAATATTGTTCTTCACAAATAGCTGAAATATCAATACCTCTTGATCATTAATCAAACAACTTTAATAGAACTACTAATTATAAGTAATGGAAGATAAATGTGTGAAATATCTCAGTACAAAATTATCTAAATAGGTTGAGAACATAGGCCATTCATAAATGTTACAATGCCAGTGTTCTGGCCCAAGGCTAGGCCTAGTTACTATTCTGAGAATGTACAGTTGGTACTGGGCAGATGTTTATTTTGGTGTTTATACTTGCTGCCATATTCCAATTTAGGGAGTTGTTCAACAAGCTGGTTCTGCTTCCTCAAACTTTGTTTTGGTGAATTTGACTAAGAATATTGAAAATTGAGCATATGGTGGTTGTCCGGAAACTTTACTGAATGCTGATTTACCGTTATAGAAATATTTTCCTGGTTGATTACAATATGGAACATTGTAAAAAAGATACCAGCTAATAAAACATCTAACTGTACTGCTTTGGTTGATGTATCCAAAATGAATTACAATTAATCATGTGTGAAGAAAGTATATTGGTTCGCTTGTATAAAAACATATTACCGTTACAACTTTATAGAAAACTAATTAAAATTTATAAATTGTAAGCTGAGTTCCGGTGTTAAGCAGCAGTCAACTTGGTGTTGATGGTCTGATAAGGTTATCTTCGAGGCAAAAGGTTGATAGGTATTAATAAACACTTCTAGATGCCTCAATTAATTTTTCTTTGAGTCTTGCCAAACTTTTGAGTTTAAAATAATGGAAATTTTCATTATGTAATTTTTTGTTCACACAAACTTGCTCAAATGGGAGAACCCGTGATTACAGTCGTTAGAAAAGATCTGATATGACCCTTTTGAAATTGTTATGGATCATAATAAGTAAGCATCTATACTCCGCGCCAAAGCTGGTGGCGGCTGAGGGATTAGGACCGCCAGGTAGGACTACATAGGTTGGACCTGCTCACCGACCTGGCCGTCCTAATCCCTCAGCCGCCACCAGCTTTGGCGCGGAGTATAAATAAAGAAAAAAAAAAGAATCAAGATGACCATTTTGGAACTGAATGGAGTTAAAAAACCACATTCTTGCAAACTTGAAAAATGCAGCATGTAGTAATTTTTCTGTGTTTTGTGAGTCTTTTTTCATGTGAGTCTGGATACAGTATTATGGATTTTTTTAAGTTTTAACCTTTGGGTTTTACATTTATGCTCCAGGTTTAAAGCCCTGAGTAGAATATTATTTCTTTAATTTTAAAATTAGGCTATACAAAAAATATAAAATCTTTAACATTTGGGTTTTTGTTTTATAGTTTTTTTTTTTTTTTTTAATTGATTTGCGCCAAAAATTTTAACATATTTAATAGACCTGAGTTGATAAAAAAAGTGTTCTTGTTTCCATCTAAATTGTATCAAAAAGTGGAATTCCGTCCTAACCCTTGTATCGGTTTCTCATTTAAATGTTGTTAAATACATTTTAAATTACAACGTTGTTGTAATTTGTATTAGAAAACATCATAGTATCTTACATGTTAAAATTAATTCCTAAGAAGCCAATTTTTTTCTATAGTTCATTCCTTAGAGCCTGAACTTGAACAAGGGAAAAGTGTAAGAACATAACTCAACATGTAAATATAGCTCACCCTAATGAGGCAACTAACCCCACCTATGCCGTCTGGCACTTTGTTGGACTGACTGTTGTAATTTTAAACACAGATAGTGCATATTTAGAACACTGATTTATGTTGACTTAACTTCCTGGCGTGATAGAAGATGAATTAAATAGCGGGATGAATCAAAGAAAAGTATGGAAGTGAGGACATGAATGTAACGGAAAGATGAATCAGATGAAGGAATTAATTAAATGGATGAATGAATGAGATAGGAGTGAATCAGAGATGAATCATGTAAGCAATTGATTCAGTCAAAGCAATGGCGGTTCAGTCAAATATAGAAAATGACTATTGATTTGAATGATGGTAAGACATAGAATAATCTAGTTTAAACAGATTTGAGACCTGTCTCATGCGGGGTAGTAACAATACTTCGGCAATTGATATGCCTATGTGACTCGTATCATTAAAAACGTTACCTACTTGCCTTTAAATTAATTTACATACCAATAGAAGTATTACAATAGACAGGCGAGGTTTAATTGAAGAAATCATAATAAATCATATGTAGAAATAGATGAAGTAAGAGAAATTAGTGTCATTGATAGTAAAGATGGAAATTAATGCAATGTGTGAATAATTGAAGATCAAATATCTTTCCTTATCTCACTAAATAAAGTCATCCTCTTCTACTTACCATGGATATTTTCCTTTTACTGTCACACTTCGGCCTTTCAACTCGTCAAAAATACAATTAAAACACAGAAGACACAAACACAAAAAACATTAAAAATGGTAGGAATACACAAACATTTAGATAGCCCTATCATATTACTGATTTAGTTTGGCGCGGCGCGGGGTTAGTAGCAGACTGGAGGTCTACATCACATCGTCTCCTCTGTTATCACAGATGTTATAAGATCTTCGATCAGCTGTTCTTGAGTCTATGATTAATTGAAAATCGAGTGAGACCGGAATTGTAATTTTTTGTTGAGGATGTGGTCCTTACACTAGTAATGCCAAATTCATTAAGCGATATGAGGATGGAAGAGAATGAGGATGGAAGAGGAGCACATGAGGGATAGAGTTGCTAAACGGAAGATTATGAAGATTAAATTAAGCATTTGTATTTTATTCTTGATTGTTTTGCAGGTGAAGCTGGGGTTGTCCGTACCTCTGCATGCCGACATGAGGGACCTAAGAGAGCTGCTGGCCTCGGACACTGGTATACCCGAGCCTCACATGTTGGTCACTGAGATAGACGACGGAGGCTTCCACAGGACCTTCTCTGGTAAGGGTAACACTATCAGTAGGCCTTCAAAGTAGGGTCTCAGTTGTCTGACATAATTAGCTGGAATGGTTGCATGCTGTTGTCAATCCGCTTACTATCACTAGGTGACTAAATTTTAGAGCATCAACACTCCATTTTCAAATATTACGACATTGTAAAAGCATTCAAGGACACATCACCAGAAGATATAAATGCATTTCACATTTTTGTGTCTATTAAACCATTGCAAACAAAGTTTATTTACTTTATTGTGGTCAGACAAACGAAACAATAAACTCGTATATAATACATTTAGTAAGAAAGGTTACCTTGACGCAAGGTCTCCCATCAAACTCTCTTTAGATAGTTTTCAGTTATGGTTATAGTTTTTACACTGTTTTCAGTGGTTGGTATACCTGAAATACTCACAAAAATTTAAAGTGAAAGTTTTTGCCACTTGACTTTTAACGTTAATATTGTTCGGCCTTTTGGGGCTAAATTAAAGGTTTGAGAATATTTTAGTTTTATGTAATACTGGAAGAATACTTGCTTTTTAAAAGGCCTTTCCTAAATTTTTGGCTTTAAGCAGTACAACCTAACATAAAGATAAAAAATAATTAAATTCTTGAATTCTAGTTTGGTGGAGTTCATTGTTTACTCTCGAGATGAAAATAGTCTTACTCGTTCAGCAGAACTTTATCTACATAATTTCATCTGTCTCATATGATTTTTATCGAATAACTTATCAGAAAATACTAGAGTTGTACACTAATTATGATTATTTAGGTCCGTTCTCAGTCAGAAGAAGCGTTTCCACCAACTCACACTGAAGTGCAATTCTAACATTATTGTTGTGTTGTAGACAAGCAGCCAGTCAGCATAATCAAGCACACAGACCCGATATACTGCCTGGAGCTGCCTCAGCTGAAGGAGGCTACCACAGACTCTGGGGAATACATACTGTTGTGTTGGATCAATGTACTCATGCTGCCAGACAACCAGTGTACAAGGTAGAGTGCTAGATTACCCCATCGTTATATCATTATATCGATAATGTGTCAAACGGAATCTTAAATCTACCGAATCTCAAGAAAAGATTTATAGTAGTAATTCAATTGAGTAAAAATAAAATGATTTTTGTACAGGGTTTAAATAGTTAACAGATATTCAGGAGCTATAGTTTAAAAATATTAGAGGTGTGCGTATATCCGAAAAATTGAGTCGTATTCAGTTTGGTTCGGATATCTGTAATTGACCTGAGCCCAAATTTGATATCCGACACTATCTGTTAAATATCTGACTTTTTCAGATAGACTGTATATTACGATGTTTTAGACTGAAAACAAATTCTTTATAAGATAATAATCATGAATAGTTTCCACTTTCCAATGACGTTATTTTAACATTACATTTCCATTGACGTATCAGCACCGACAGCGGTCGGTGACTAAGACTAATTGTCAAAACATTTCATGTGCGTCGTCTGGTATTCACTGTAAAAAATAATAGAATCAACAAATCATCAAACTAAAGTACTGTAATAACAATCGATAAGTATGGTGCGGTAGCGTAATCCGAGACTTATGAAAAAGTGTAGTTTTGAGCTAAATATTACCACTCAAAGTTACGCCGAACACTATAATTTATTGTATTTTTTATTTTCTTTCTTGAGATTTACTTTAGCCTAGCTTAAAATATTCGTGAGCTCAAAGAAGCCGTATGATGCACCCCCCATACTATATCTCGTTTAGTCGTTAAAATATTACTTCAATTATAGAAAATTATAAGGATGTTGCTGAGATTGCAATACAGAAGGTCATGGACATTGCTGTGATTATAATGAACATTTTGGAAATTTTAAGATTAGTGGATTTGACCATCACTGCTTCTTTTAGTTGTTTTGGTAAATTTCCAGTATTTCTATCAATTTGTTTTGTTGACATAAATTCTACATTTAGTTCCAATTCCATTAAACCACACTTATATGTTCCCTCCTCCAATCGTCTGTGATTGACAGGTTCAGCAGCCCATTCACCATGCAGGTGTGCCGGGAGACGTCGTACCAGGACCTGCAGAAGCTGTTGCTGAAGGAGATGGCAGCGACACTGCATGACGATGTGTTGACCAGTCAGCAGGACCTGCCTCTGTTTAGGATCAGAGTGTGTGATGCTGGCGGGGAGGCGGGGGCCACTGACCACAGCTATCTGGACCCTCAGGTGACCAATCACTAAATCACTAAATGTGGCAAAGTTACTGTAGCGAGTTGTGTGTCAGAGTACAAATTCCTGAAGCAATGTTGTAGGTTCACATCCTGGTTTCACCACTAATATTTATCTGCAGTGCATTCCTGTACTGTTCCTGCTCACCCCTATCATTGCTTGAACGTTTCACACACAGTCTGCGGCCTATGTGAACAAGCAAATTGTTGCGGCGTAAGCGAAAATAGAGAAAAGTAAAAGTTTGAAAATGTAAAGATATGCGATGATAAAAGAGAAACAATTTTTGTGCTGCACCAACCTTGAAATACTAGATTGAAGTGAAGGTCACAAGATGGCGGCTTCATCTTCTTGGTAAGATGTTGTCTTGAGCAGTGGGGAGTAGGCGGGAAATTTGAATGTACTTCAATTTTAACTTAAAATTAATTCTTCTTTTGCTATGTATTGAAATTAAAGAAAACTCTTCTTCATGGGGTTATAATAATAAATAAAATAATTACTTCTTCTAACAGAAATGCTAGATTAAAAGATGCCAATCTCATTTTTGGAAGAAAATAAAATATGTAGTAATTGGCTAGGCCTAATACAAAAAAGGGAAGGGTTGTAGCATCTGTCTAGCATAGAAGTTGTATCTGTTGAGTTATGCTTGCTTGAATACAGTATTTTGAAGGTAAAGGTTTTATTATGTCACTCATGTTTACTGATAGATATGTTTTTCTGGTGGGGGGGGGGGGTGTTTTCAACAGATTTTTCTTTTCAATATTTTTTTAGATTAGGTTATGAGTTGTTTTAACTAAAAGAGAGAAACATTTCCTGAACTTTTTTATCCATGCGTGTTTTAATAATCCAGAACCGCTTGTTTGCTATTAAAAGAAATAATAAATTCCCCAAGGATAATGGTTACTTTAGAGTAATTGTATGTGTCGTACAGGTGGATCATCCGCTGTACACCCAGCCCATAGACCAGGCACTCGCCATGTGTGACTCTCAACCCCATGTTAAGTTTGTGCTGGAGTGGGAAGCCGCTGCCAAAGAAAGGTACCAGAGATACATTCTTAAGATTCCTTGGAGGCTAGGGACCATCTTGGACTGTTCAAAACAGCTGTTGAAGGGTTATTTATCATCAAAATATGTTTTTGAACACCAAAGTGATTGTAATTTAAATATCTTGTGCACTGCGGGATCAGAAAGTTTCTTTGCAGATTTGTAATTGTTTTCCAAGGGAGTCCATGGAGGCTATCGGTCATCTTGGGTTTGCCTGCCATTAAAGCAATGTTAATTTTGTCAATTTCAAACAGCCGCTGAAAAGTTATTTACCATCTCAAACATTTTTTTTTCAAATATCTAAGTGATTGTAATTTAAATATCTAGTGCACTGTGAGAATAGAATGGTTTTCCCTACTTTTGTAATTGTTCTATGAGTTATACTGCCTAGGCTCCAAGGACTCTTAATAAACTTCGGTATTAAGCAGTTAGCAAAAGTTTGATTTTCGTGGTGACAGTTTCCATTTTTTTTTCTAGTGCGATCCATCAAAGTTTGCTAGTGTTGCTTAATGTCAAAACTATACCCCCATTAATCTACCCCCTCATTAACCCCCCCCCCCTAAACCCTCTTAAAACCCTCATTAGTCTGGACTTTGTGGATACAAGTTGTGCTCATTGTTGGAAGTACTGATCAAACTGAACATACTGAAGAAATGGCATTAGCAGGATCATCAGCTGTGAAGCAATTACAAGTTGGGCACTCCTTGTATATTTTAGACTTAAATCAAATTAAGTACTTCAAGCCAAGCTTTAAACCAATACAGTGCAGGAATAAAAGTTAGTAAAATGCAAAGTTGGATTGGGATCGACAACCGAGCTTAAAATAACCTATGATGGCTATCAATGCTGTGTGTTGTTTCAGGATCATAGCAGACGACAGTGATCAGCTGGAAGAGCACGCCAGTGTGAAGGAGATGCTAGCCAATGCAGAACAAGGTCACTCTGTCACGCTGGAGCAATGTTTTGAGGTGAATATCTGTCAAAATTGAATCTATCTCACTCTTGCACCTAGAATTTTCATCAAGCTATTTGAAGACTGAATAAAATTTAATTTATTGACTACCATTTCCCTGATTTCTAACTATGTTTATGATTTTTGTTACCTAAGTAATCCACAGGATGAACAATCTAAAATTTAGAGTTCCTTGAGGTTTTTTTTGTGTAAACACATACGTAATTACCATTTTTTCTTGCAATGATGGTAAACAATAAAAAAATACTATAGCTATGAAAAAGTATTCATGTGGAACTGTGTGTTTGTGTTGCAATCATAAACTAAGGGAATCGGCTTGTACAATTGAATGCTCATTACAATTGTGCCAGAACGTTTATTCTCAAATGCCATCAACATGAAAGTTTAGAGGTTTGCCAGTAGTAGCTTCATTTTCAAACTGAAAAGCTAAAAGGTAAGCTTAAAAAACTTGATTGTTTGGCCTATAAAATCCCAGGCTCACCACCCCTGTAAGAAAATAATTTGTATTTCAACACAATTGTAAAAGAGGTTTGAATATAGGATGGATGAGACTTTCAGAAAGGATATTATATAAACTGCCTACACAAAGCTCGAAGAAATGTGTCGATTGACTCTGCTCTTTTCAGTTCTGTTGGATACAGTTGCCATAATATTTTTTGTTCAAGTAATTACATCTTTGCTATCTTTAATCTTTACAAGCCTACTAAATAAATAGATTGAGATTCAACATGACTTTTCAGCTATACACAAAAGCAGAGGTCCTGGGTGCAGAGAATGCTTGGCATTGTCCCAACTGCAACTTGAAGCAGGAGGTAGAGAAGAAGCTGGGTCTGTGGACATTGCCGGACATCCTCGTCATCCACCTCAAGAGGTTCAGACAGGCTGGCGGGAAGCCTAACAGGTTGGTGGAACTAAGAGTAAATGTTAACTTTTACATTGAACCCTTGGTATGATCTTTTGAAGCAAATAGAACATATGGGATTAATGGTACTTGTTTCAGTTTTTGAAGAATATTCAACTTTAATTGTATTTTTAAGTATCTCACTAATGCTAGTTGTAACTTTAGCCTACTACACAAATTGGCATATTTTAAATTTGATAAAGCAAGTTTGAAGTTAAGACAGTAAACAGAGAAGCATTTTGCTGTAGTAAATTATTTGTTTACAAGTTATCCTTAATTTTTAATAACTGCTAATTTGTCAACTCCCTCCAGATCCTCAGTCAAGTTGACCACACTGGTGAACTTCCCCCCGTACGGGTTCGACATGTCACCTCACGTCTGTCCCGCCGGTACCCACACCCGAGGCGGAGGTTGGTCGCCATGGAGACGGCCACCCACCTCACCCAGCCAGGGAGGAGAGTACATCTATGACTTGTATGCTGTATGTAACCACCACGGCCAAGACCTGCAGAGCGGACACTACACGGGTGAGTAGAATCTTAAAGTTGTGTATATTTTCTATCATTGGTTAAATAGGTTCACAGCGTTTTATGCTGGAATCTGACCCTGTCTTCAGCTGGATGGAGTAGAACAAAGATAGTATAAATCAGTATTGCTGGAAACTCAGTATGGCCAAAACTTGTATGTAGGCCTACTTGTACATTTTGAAGTAAAGATTTCAGATAGGACTTTTTTAGCCACAATGTAAAACGTTTTTAACATGTACTTTAATCCATCGTTTGTGACAGCCTACTGCCGCAACCCGTACGATGGCCAGTGGTACTGCTTTGACGACGCCAAGGTCACCCCGGTGTGCGAGAGTCAGCTGGTGTCCCCTGCTGCGTACATCTTGTTCTACCAGAGGCGAGGCCTCATGTCGCCCAGCTCCAACTCTTCATGCAGCTCTACCATCGGACTGGACCACTGGGCGTCACGGCTCGTCTATATTCCAGGTCAGGCTATGTGAAAAACTGTAGTTGCTATATTTTGGATTCAAACGTTATTTGTTGAATATCTTGATTGAATTATGCCTGTTGGTGTTATATGATAGAATAAAATATTGGAGACTGCTTGATACGTTTAGGGCCTGATATGATAATTACCCTGGTTGACTTGGGTCTGCCTCACCCAAAAGTATTGTTGGCATTTAATTTGTTCCATTATTTTAGGTCTACAAAAGTTTAGATTTGTTGTAAAACTTAAATTTTGTTAACAGGAGACTGACAAATTTTAAAAAAAATACTACTAAATATTTTGTTTCAATTAAGGTTAGGAGTTAAGGAAAGGCAAATTGGCTGATTTGGATTATTATGTACAAGGATAGGGATCAGCTAGCTTACCTGGTAGGTAGACAGAGTCCAGATTAGCCTTGATTATAGATAGCTTTCTTCTCCCTTCTGATGAAGTCCCTAACTAGGACAAAATATTAAGTTTTTCTGTTTTGTGTCATGTGTTTTATGTATACTCAAGGCTAATCTGGACTCTGTCTACCAGGTAAGCTAGTTGATCCCTATCCTTGTACATAATAATCCTTATTTCAATTAAGTTGTCTCAAAAACGTGAATTTGTCCATAAATAACAATAGTGTGATTTACAGAAGAGAACAACAAGGATGGTATAGTGAGGAACTCTGTGGCCTACTCGACGCTTCCGTCCACCAAGCATTCTGTGGCAACAGAGACAGACATTCCGCTGACCAACATTGTGGTGAGTTATGTCAGCGTCTCAGATCAGCTGTAAATGTGGCATGGTTTGTAATAACCTTGAATTAAACTGAGGTTAAATTACGGACAAACTACAGTAGTACTGAGAGTGAGCTTTTATCTTTATAATGAATTGCAAATTTTGTGTTGAGTGAGTGCTTCTAAAATTGACATTTTGGACACAAAAAATTATTTTTTACTTTCTTTACAATATCATGAATGATTTATGTGTAGTAATTATACACTGTTTTAAAATATTGATTTAGTACAATAAGCTGAGTGATCCTTAGTAAAGTTTTTATTTGGAATTGTATGATTATTCATCATCCATACATAACTGAACCACGCCCACTACCAACTTAGGGCAGTATTGGCCCCATAATAGTCATCATGATTGAACCACCTAATTGTACATTCCCTTCTCATATTCAATGTAAATTTTGTTGTACACTTTTAAGATGTCTTATCCAAGTTTGAAAATGAAACGCTTGTGCGACGGAACATGTTAACTGATTCAATTATTGAATAATCGTGGGACCATTTGACAGAAGTAAAGTTAAAACTTCTTTTGTCTGAAAAGTAGTCCTGGGACCAGACATGAATTTTGACCCTAAATATTAATGTAAGGTTCTACCATTGTATAACAGTAACAGTCACTGTGTTTGTTTTTCAGAACTCACCCACCTGTGAGAGACGGGAAGCGTTTGACAAGGAGATAACAGACAGCAAGATATGTGATATGGACGAGATACGGGACATCGATGCAGACGATGTAGAACTGTCTGAATCGCGAGTGTAGCAAGCCCAACCAAAGATACTGGCCACCTGACCATTCCAGATGCCAAATTATTCCTACAAGAACTCAAGTTTTTCGTCTTGAGAATTTTTTAATTTTTCCAACGTAGTTTTTCAACGCTCCACTACTACTTCAGAGGCACCGTTTTATATTTTCCTATTCCATTTAGCATTAAGGATGTGTTTTGTGTTTTTCCACTTTTCAGTGTGAAATTTTTAACAAACTATGAACATTTTTTGATTCGGCGGTAAAGTTTTGTTTGTGGGTCTGATATATTTGTAAAGGTCGTTATAATTTGAAAGTATTGGTTTTTATTTTTATAAAATGTAGTTTTAGGCTAATCTTGGTTTTCTATTTTTACTTAAAAATTTAGTATTAACTTGCTCTTTACATTTTAGTCCTCTCTACATAAGTGAAGTGTTATTTTTCTCCCTTTTATTCTATACTAGAGGTCGTTCAGTGGTCAAAAACTCAACTAAAAATATCTAATGTACTGGTACTGACTTCTCTATTTTCACCCCATGCTGTAAATAAAACATGTGATTGGAATTTCTCCCGTTTGTTATGATTTTCTGTTTATATTTCGTCACCAGCATGACAACCCATAAGGCCCATGTAAATTTTTAAAATTTTGAATTGATTTTTTGTGCTTATTTTGGGGTCTATTTTAATTTATAAAGGGATTCTGCACACCTACAGAAAAATACCATTCTAACAGTATGCGTAGATTTCCTCTACAATGCACACAAGCTGAGAAAAAAGGTTTTAAAGAAACATGCTTGCCTATTAATATATAGATTGGCCCATAACTTGCTTTGGTTGATACGTAGTCTTCATAGAATTGTCCAAGAAGAGAAACTTAAATTGAAAATAACTCTAAAAGAAAAATATTTTAGTTATATTTTTGGAAAGAATGTTAAATGGTTGATTATAATTTTGTTTAAGCACCTCATTTTTGCACTTCTAGCATTTCTTTTCAACCAATTCTCTGAAGAAGGATATCAGAATTAAATATCGACATAATGTTTTGTGACTTTCCGCTAAGGACCTATTAGCTCCAGGAATCTTAGTTTCTCAGTTAAAACTTCTGAACTCCATCCCTTTAAAAAAAATCAAAGCTTTCAAGGGGAGGTTCTGTTGGGGAAGGATTCAATTTTTTTTATTAATTTACTGCATAATTAGGATAAGCACAGTTTGTTTACTACACCTTTGCTATTAATTGAATGAAGACAAATATATCAGACCATTTTCAGCCTTACTAAGTATATCCCATGTATTCCATACTATAAGTTAACCCTTAATGTTAAGTTTGTATTTATTATATTGTTGCTATTGTATATTTTAAAGATATTCGTTATCAAGTGTTTCCTTTGTTTTTGTGGTGGCCGATCAAACACCAAACGCTCTCTTGTACATTACAATTGAATAGAAAAGTTTATTGTACATTTTCCAATATTGTTGTGATAAATTGTATAGTTCTTGTACTTACAGGTTTTTCCATGTTCCCAAAATTCCTTTGAAAGTGCAATACGGAACTCAAGTAGTTAGCACGTTGTAAATTAATCCTAATTTTATTTTGTCTACATTCAAACAAAGTAATTCTATTCACTGCCAACTTCAATAGTATTGAGTCGAATGAGGTATTATTAAGTATCAAACAAATTTTATAAATGATTCACTAGTTGTTTATTTATTGGGAAAAGTATATTGAATGTGATCAAAACGGTTTTTAATTCTATGGAATGTGTTATTTTTTCAAACAAATTTGTTGTAAAAAATCTTTGTTTATTATTATATTATGAGAGGAAAAGAGCAAAGTTGATTTTGTTTTTTACAAAATTTGCAATTAATTATTTTTTTCAGTTAAAGTTTGGATTTTATCAAATGTTTTTTCTGGTAAGAAGGATAAAACAATAATTATATTATCTAAGTTAGTTTCATTAGATATTCATATATTAAATAAACAAAATTATTAAACTGTATTTTTAACAGGTGTATAATTTTGTATTTTGAAGTAGGAACAGATTTTTTATCTTCTAAATGTAGGAAAAAAACTTTAATTTGTTGGATTTCACCAGCACTAGTCATCATAGTTCAGAGTGTATCATAACCAATAAATTATATATTTTAGTTTATTGAACACATTTCTATTAACTTTCCTCCCTGTCCCATTGTTTATACTAGTTTTAGTTTATCGCTGACAATAAATTCAGCTTTTAGTGTGATACGTACACACATAAAAGTGGCTTCCTTAAATCCCCAGTAAAAGACATTAGTAATCCTAATTTTGTCCCCGCAAATATTGTATTAATTAATACAACCCCCTAATTAATACAACTTTTTATTGTAGTATTGTTGGTAGTCCTTGGCGGGTGCCCATTTTGCTAGCCCCTAGTTACGGCTCAGCCCTGCTGGTGCATAAAAGACGCTTTATTTTGTAGAAGCCATCATTCTCTAATAAAAAATTACCTTTTGCGAGGGATTTTACTTGCTTAAACTACAACAGTAAAATTTATGTAGTTGCACTGAAGCACAGTCACCAGTATGAAATACAAAAACAACCACAAATAGTGAAAAAGACAAAGGGGGAAAGGCAAGAGGCGAAGAGAAAGAGCGAGCGGGTAGCAACACACTCATCTGGAGAGTGAGCGTGGCGGTGCTGTATGTGCCTCATTGTCTTTGTGCGGTGTAGTGCGGGAATCACTAACTTAAAAATGAACACAGGAAAGTAAAATCACAGAATTCTCATGACACTTTTTATTTTCACTCAAATCTATCACGGTTCTCTTTCTTGGTCAAACGTTTGAAGGAAATATCCCGAATATCCGGGCAATTCCTGCCAAAGTCTCTACCTCTTACGCTAAAGATACTCTAAAACAACGCCTCAGTACAGTCACAATAACATTCGTTACTCGGGTGAGATCTTGGGATCGTAAATGGATGACTGGGATGACGATAAATAAATAAATACATAATAAATACACATTCAATCATGACAAAGCATAAATCCTGGCGAAATATCTTAAGTACTTTGTTCAATTTTTTTTTCAACTTTTTCCAACATAGTTCAATTTTTTCACTTAAACTCATATTCAATTCTCGTTAGAATCAAAACTGCAAATTCGTTGTTATAAAAGTGAAAAAAAAACACAAAATATCCAAACAGCACAGTTTTTAACAACTAATCTATTACAAGGAATGTCTTTTGCTATAATATTGTAATTCAAACGAAGTGCATTATACCAATATGATAATGTAAAGCATCTTTTTAATTTTTTTTTAAATATTGTCAAATATAAATATTTAATTAAAATAAACATAATTTGTTTAATGTATGTCATTCTACATTTTATAAAATCACTAAATTTGACAACAGCTAGTTTTAGAAAAAGTATAAAATTTTTACATTATTTACTCTTTTAGTATTTACATAACAAGAGCCAGCAGTTAGGTTAGGTTGTTCTATAACAAGTTTATACGGTAAATAGTAAATGTATATTTTAATAAAGCTCTATCAAGACCTACCCTAACCACTGAAAAGTTGTCAAATCAGATAAATTGTTAACCTTTTACTTTCATCCACAATAATTTCCACAGCAAATTACAGTATTTAAGTTGGATTTGTTTAAACCTTTAGGGATTCAAAATATTGTACCGGTTTTCCCCTTTGAAATAACAATACAATTATTGATTTACTGCTGCCTCCACAAGGTAGCAAAAATACCTAGTTGGAAACATTTAATGGTAAACCTTGCCTCTTAAAAAATCAGTTAAATATGAGCAAAGAGGTTCTGCCTCATTTCAATTAAGATTTGGTCACATGCTGAAGATATAACTGTATTCAGACGTTCTGCCTTTGGGAAAGCTGGATAGTATTTACCATCAGATATTTTTTTTTATTGAAACAAAACTCATTTTTGGGAACATAGTTTTAAAAAGCTTCTTTTGCTACTAACTGTAGTCATGTAATTGAAAACGTTTTGTTATGACTGCAAGAGTTCCCTCAAAACAAAATGTTCTGCTATTAAAATATAGATGTGGTGTGGAAATGTTAAGCCAGCTAATCCAGTAAGCAGTGAAGTATTAAAGAAGGGTTGGGAGTTGGTATAGTTGGTACCTATATAATAACTAGTCAGAGTTGGTACAGAAAGAAACAAATAAAAAACGGTACATTCTTAGGATCTTTACAAACAAAACCCAACCTAACTGAAATGCTGCTCAACTACAAGTGGATTGATAACAGGTGTATAGATCGTAGCGCAGCTGTAGTTTAGTTGGCAACGACTTCTGGGATCGTAGACATCTCTTGGTTGGGAATTCCCTCGACGCACTTCCACAGGCCGTAAGTTTTGCCAACCGTCGTCTGCCAGAGTCGTAAGGTTCCGTCTTCGGAGCCCGAAGCGTACAATTCACCATCGGGGGAGAATCTGACACAATGTACGGGACCGAAATGTCCCTTGAAGGATTCTGTAAATAGCAGATCAGTTTAATAGCTTGTAAAAGGCTACGCTTCAACTAAACTTACCTATTAATGGAAAACAAAACTAAAAATTCACATGCAAAATTGAGAAAGTTTTGAGTTCAAAAAATTAATTGTGACAAGTTAATCCCTCTTACCCACACGTACGTTTTATATTAAACAGAAAATCTCTTTATTTTAAACTTTAAAATAAAAATACATTAATTTGTATTTCTAAGAAAAAATCTAGTGGTGATAACTTTTGAGTTTTGACTTTTAACTTCTTTTAAAAATTACAAATTACTCAAGCCATTTCCCTTGAGAAATAACACCAAATTTTCAATTGATATATTTTAGTCCTGAAACTCTTAAATGGTTAAATATTTGTTTGAATACTTGATCAAATAGCTTAATTTTACTACGTTTTAGTAGGTAGCTTTTGTCTAAATTACATTAATGATTTTTAATATTTTTTTTGTTCATTTATAAATTAAGAGCCAAAACACTACAAAACCAAAACTGGATCAGGATCAGGCTTCCTAAGTTGAAATCCCAAACGTAATTACTTTCCTGCACTTGTATTAGTTTCTACTGAGTGTGCAGTGCGAGTTCTTAAAAAATAGGAAAAATCAAGCAAAAATTTACCTATCTCGTTTCCAGTGGCAAAGTCAAACTTGTACATCTTGAGGTCATCTCCGCCACAGACAAAGATGGTTCTGTCGGGATGTAGCGACGCAGAGTTGACCTGTGTAGCCACTGGCACCTCTCTGACCACATCCAGCCTGGAACACATGTCAGAGGTTAATCAGACTGTATAGACTTGCCAACACAGATAGTACATACTGAAAATGAAGATGCTCTAATGCCATTATGATTACATCACTTTTGATCCCTATTATTGACACTGGGAACAATAAGCAGGTTGTGATGAAACCTCTTGATATAACTCAGTGCATTTCCAACTTGAGTGGTATAGGTTCTGACTAATGTTTCCGAGTTCAAAATTAGTTTTCACTGTTCCCAAAACAAAGACAGTTCCAAGTATGAAACCACTCGCTTCCGCTAGAATAGTCAACAAATTTCTTGTACTTGTTAAGATTTTCACAAGCAAATTTTACTCCCCACAATCAATATTTAAGCTATCAAAACAACTAAATTAGGCCTTTCTGTAGTTTGGCCTAACTTAGTAATATCAACTCGGTTAACAGGCTTAACTGAATGGGAAATGGTCTATTCTGGCACAAGAAACACAAAAAACTTTACAAAATATAACCAATACAAAAAATAATGCTTGTCAACTAAAACCTTCCTTGGTTCAAAACGGTGCTAGTGACAGTTAAACATTGTAAGTTTCATGTTTAGTGTAAAGTTTTTTGTTTCTTGAGTCGGAGTTGGCTATTTCTCACTCAGGTAAGCCTGCTATCCTAAAAATCCACCTAGACCTAGACTCTGGTGATTTATGCTAAATCTTTAACATTGAATTTAAAATTGCCCGAGTGAGGTTGGCAACTGAACTCAAAACACCTAACTACAAAAGGAGAAATTGGTATGTTAGACAAGTCAAATATTTTGATTATAAAAGTAGGTATTGTAGTCATCACTAATTGCAGATTAGACAATTGTACTACAATTTGCAATCAGGTTAACAAAATTAAGAAGTATTAAAGATTGAAAAGTCTTAAAAAATAAACTAAAAGACATCCTTCTCAAGAGACCTTCTCTGTGGATGACTTTTTCTATTAGGCCAACAACAACAAATTGACGACCACGGCACATTAGTGCTTCCAGAGATACTTTCAAGTATCAAGTAATAGGGTTATGTGGATTTAAGTATGCATCGGACATCAACAGTGCCTGCCTAACTCACGTTTGAGAGTCCAGGAAAGACACGGTGTTGCCGTGAGATACAGTGAGGATGGACCCGTCCCGAGACACTTCTAGACTGGTCGGCGAGTGCTTGAACTCCAGCTTCATCACTTCCTACAAAAAGAAATAAGGTTAAAATAGTTTTACTTGGCGAATAAACAACCCATCAATAAATTGGTTTGATGAAACTCTATAACCTAAGGCCTAAATCAGCTGTGCAGGCAAAATGGATGTCTTTTCCAAGATGTAGCTGAAGGAAGGAAATGAAAATTAAAAAAAAATTAACATAGTGTGTTTAAGTGTCATACAGTCCAACCTTGATATAACGAACCTCAATATTTAACAAATTATTTTTTTAAATCTCCTTGAACTCTCCATAAAAAACAATATAGGCTATATATTTCACCTCTACATAACAAATTTACCATTATCAGAACCTCTACATAACAAATTGTTATAATAAATTGAAATTCCACTGAAACTTAAATAATTAGTTGTAAATAAAACATGAGTTTCCTTTATATTACTTTTACATTAAAAATAAACTATACCGAACCATGGCTCAATCTCCCAGTACTTATTTCTAATCTGATAATCAATAACGTGGTTTAAAACTTGCAATTCAAATCCTTGACACACAAAGTATTCGCTATTTGTCACATTTATTTTTACCAAACTTAAGCAATAGATAAATAAATCTATTCTATCTAGCGGTGAGCTTTGATGGGTCAAATAGTTTTAGGCTAAAAAGTACCGGGGGACCGAGCCAAACTGAAAAATAGGGGCAAATAATAGAGATTTAATTTTGTTGTCCACTATAAAAACTTTCAACACTTAAGATTGACTCCGTTCCTACCTGTCCATAGTTCCTGTCCCACACGCGGACTGTCCGGTCATCTGCGCAGGACACAAGCCGGGTGTCATCACGCAGGAAGCACACGTGGCGCAGACTGGACGTGTGTCCGGAGAACTTCTGCGGTCCTGTTGGCAAATGCAGAAAAATTAGTTCTGTATGAGTTTAAGGATGTAATGGAGCTCAAGGGCTTGTTTCAAAATGTTTTGTTAGGATATCATATTTAAACAGGGGTTAGCAGGACTGTATGTAAAATAGTGTACTTTGGCACAAGTGGAAATACCGTCAGTGACAGTGAAATATTTTTTTTTTTTTTGTGTATAGATGACGTTTTTTTTTTGTTTCTTGTGACAGATTAGTTTTTTTTCCATTTAAGATTGTTATTTTAAAAAATACTTAATTCCGTAAAATATTTTTTAAAATAATTACCAGAATACCAGACACATGGTGGAAAACTTTAAGAGGAACAGGTACTTTTTGAATAGTTTGAAATTAGACACATTGTCTCAATATGAACATAAATGGTAAATCACTAACACAAACAGTTCAAATTTATTGCATTGAGATCTTTAAACAAAATAAAAAATTTTAAATGAAAAAGAGATTATTTTATAATTCACTAGACAGAAAGTCAAGGTTACTTGAGTTAAATGTAAACTTTTTGGTTAAAGAAGGTGAATAATATATACCTCTTACCATTTTAGAGGAACAAAACAAATTGTAAACAAACACTACAACAGTAGGCTAATGGTTGTATTTGTAAAGTGAGAAAATAAAAAAAGTATATTTGTTTCATATTCAACAAATTTTTTTGTTTCCATTTAATATATGCCGCCTTAAAAACTCAACATAAAAATAAAAAACCTATAATCCCGCAGCTAAAATTGTTACAATAATTTTCATCAGACTGTCACAAATAAAGATTACAAAATGCTGACTAGCATTTCTTTTGATTACCAAGGGCATATTTGGTAACACAGAAAATGCTGACCAATGTAAAAGCAATCATTTTGATAAGCAGTTTCAAAAACAATTTCAAAAGTTGTTTAACAGTTTTACTTCTACATATTTCCCTGCAGACGTTAAAGTGTGAAAGAAAGGTTTATAAAGGCTTTAGGGTATATTTTTTGTGAGTGGCAATTCATATAATAATGTTCATAACCGCCAAATTACTTCCTAAATGTTTTTTTTTTTTTTTTTTTGTAAAGAAACACAAATGTTTGCAAAATGTCATGTGGAAAGTGGTAAAAAATACCCCGCCACAGCAAACCTACAGACTAAGCGAATTTCATTTTGCCTGAATTGATTTAAAATTAAATCTATTTAAATAACATTAGTTTTAACCAGTACCTAGGTTTGCTGCTACAGTGAGGCTAATAATGCGTTTTTTAATAAAATATTAATAGCTTAATTTGCCAAGTTTGATCAAAATATTTCCATGAACAAGCAAACTACAACATTTTACGGTATTCTTCATAAAAATAACATGGGAAAATTAAATTTACAGTTTTTTTAATGTTTTCTATATCAAACCGTACAAAACTTCTTAATATACAAAATTATTTGTTTTTTTAAGCTCTTTATAATGGTCTAGAGAGAAATTGGGAAATTTAATGTGTTTTAAGGATTACAAATGAGAAAAACCAATATTTACCCCATAAAACCGCATTCCCATGCTTGTTCGCAAACGCATTGTAGTTTATCCCGCCATACACATTGAAGCCAAATTTTATAAAAATCGGACAAAAATTGCTCAAGTTATCGCGTTTACGGACACACATATACAAATTTTAACAAATAGTGTTTGTGGCCTCTAGGGACATAAAAATAAAAAAGTAAATCGGTACGGGGCTAGGTCTTACCGTGCCACCCCTAATAATAGCTACTTCACTTCACTATAGGGAAATTTGCTAAAAACCAAATAATTTATACAGTAAGAAATTATAAGAAGACTTTTATAACTAATTTTTAAAATTATTCATAAGTCAAGTGCGTACAGGAGTTATGAATTATTGCTAGCGTAATACACTTCCTTGCTCTGGATATGCCTAAAGTAACCTTCAACCGCAGAACCAATGACCTTTGACTCTACCCACTTTGGCATTGTAAAGTCAAGAAACAAACCAGTTTATAACCAGATTTATTGTTTGATAAACCAGCAGTGAAGTGAATATTAATGTGATTTGCAAAAAATTAGGGGAAAATACACGAGGAATACACATAGTTTTGTTACGGTGGTAAAGTAAACTTGCCTAAAGTCAGATTAAATGAATACATGCAAGAAATGTTTCTGGTAACAGCTATGGGTAATTCAGTAAACTGGAAAACTTTTGTAGAAAACGCTCAAAAACAAGGCTAGTTACTAAAAAATTATAAATTATTTACAGGAAGTATTTTTTTTTTACTAAGCTGTTCTTAACAGTGTGAGTATTTCTATTAGATACATATGTTTTTAGTTGATTCTTTTAAACACATAGAAAATTATGACTGTTATTAGTTAATAACTCCTTTATAATACCAGTAGGCTACTTGACAATTGCTCGATTTCGAGCAACCGGTACACTAATTTAATATTTTATAAATGTCATATATGAACTAACTCGCTAGTTAAGGATTGTAAATATGTGTGTGGTGGCTGCACTGTCAACATGTGACGTCAGCGGCCACTGCTCAACCCTCACCCTCAGTCTGCTATGATCAGTGCGGTAAGCAATAGTTTAAGTCGGTTCTTTGCTTATAGTTCCGAACGTAATAATAAATAGGTTGTTTTATTCAAACAATTAATTCTCTTAAACAAACATAATTTTTTAAAGGTATTGGAGTGGTCAATGGAATTGTTTTGCCTCTGTAACGATTCTGAACGTGTTGAGATGTGCAATCTGCGCACGGGTGAATTAAAATTTGGTAACAATAATTAAAGAAAGAATAGTGAAAAAATAAGTAAAAGAATTAGCAAAATTTTTAAGTTTTTAAAATTTCTTTCTTTGCATGTAGTTAGTGTAGTTGTTTTGTAGTATTATGTTACATTAGTTTATTTATTTATACATTCATATCATGGACTTTAGAAACTTCCTATTGCACCATCTATATATTAATAGGCAAGTAAGTTTCTTTAAAACCTCTTTTCTCAGCTTGTGTGCATTGCAGGGAAAATCTACGGATAATGTTAGAAATATATTTTCATGTAGATGTGCAGAATGGCTTTATAAATTAAAATAGGCTAAAAAATAAGCACAAAAAACCAATTTAAAAATTTAAAAAAAATTGACATGGGCTTTATGGGTTGCCATGCTGCTGGTGACGAAATAACAACGAATTATAAATAGAAAACCAAAACAAAAATTGTAGAAATTCCAATCACATGTTTTATTTACAGCTTGTTGTGAAAAAAGAGAAGTCTGTATATTACATATTTTTGGTTGAGCTTTTGACCACTGGACAACCTCTAGTAATGTTTAAATTACAGTAAATGTTCTTTTAAATATAATAAAACTAATCCTTTTCTTTTAAAAATTTAAAGGAATTTTTTTCATCAAAATTAAAATGGTAATCAAATTGTTTATCAACAATTATTGTTTCAGCGGAAAAAAATATTTTAAAGGATTTATCAAAAAATCATATTAATATTTTAAAGGATTTAAAAAAATCAAATTTATCTTGTTGGTGTACATAAAAAGTATTCCGTTTAAAAACTTCCACGGAGTAGGGCCTATACAAGGAAGTGTGTTGACAAAACATGTACAACAGGGGCTTACAAATAACTAGATTAGTGAGGCGGTAAAGGCGGTGGAACTCTGTTATGGGATACAGTAGACCTTGTCTAGGCCTCGCACCAAGGTGAGCATTCAGGAAGGAAGAAGAAGAATTCAATGCCACCGGCCAGACTGTAATACTAACTGTAGCAGCACTGCCAAGGACATCTGGCAACAATAACCAGCCACTGCCTCTGTGATCTCAGCTTCTCAAAGCTGTGCTCAACATCTATTAGGCTGTGATTGATACTATTTATTGGAAAGGTCTTTTTGCGGACAATTTGAAAAAAATGTAATAGACAAACTTTATATAATTTTTAAATTGATATACTAGAGGTGTAATCGGTCTGGTTTTTTAAGTTAAACAAATGAAAGGAGCATTCATTTGGGAAATTAAATATAATAGAAAACCAAGGTTTAAATTAGGCATCAGTAATCTTTAATCATGTTTTTACATTTTACAGGTTGAGAGAGTTAGTTATTTCAGATCATAGATAATGTTTAAGCTTACTATCATTGTTTTTCTTTTTCTTTATGCTATCCTTTATTATAAAATCTCAGACACTAATAATTATATAATTGTTTGTTCAACTGTTCAATTAGGCTAGCAGATTTTTAAATTGCCGATTAAATTGAGGAAGTTTAGATACAATTTTGTTTGATTATTTTAAAATTTAATTTTCTTTGTCCTCTTGATAAAAGAACTCCATACTTCAAACAGTATCTATTTCCAATCACAGAAGATAATTAAATAAACGCCAACAATACTTTGCAGGGTTGGACTTTTTCAAATTCCTTTTTTATGCCATTTTCATAATTAGTACAAAAATTATTTCTAGGCTAAAACCTTTTGAAAATAGTTCATACATACAGTTCACACAGAAAGGAGTTTTGTAAGTGGTTTTTACAAATATTTCCAGTGTTAAGAAAAGTTTTCTATGAAAAAAATAATACAAAACATTATGTAAGTTATCCACAACCCATTTGATTATGTAACTTTTCATTTACTGAAGTCAAAAGCAACTGTCTCATAAAATCCAAATGTGTTTATTTTATGTTCCTATTAGACATAACAAATTAAACTAGTAACTCACCAACAGCTTAATTTTAAAATCAATTTTTTACATAGTTACAACTTTGATCACCCACCAGCATCAGGTTTGTTGAGATCAAACACCCGGACGAGCTTCTCGTTGCTGGCCGTCGCAAACAACGAGCCGTCGTCCGAGAAACAGACAGACTTGACGATATGATTGTGTTGGAAGCTGTGTTGCTCTGCTCCACCCACCGCGTCCCACACCTACCACAGGTAAACAGTGAAGAAGTGGAAATTATCAAACCTTAGTCTACTTAAGCTTCCCTACTTCAGTATGATAAACATTTTTGGGCATCACTCACCTTATTGAAATCAGGAGAACACAATCCTTGTCATACCACAGTTCACTGCACATAAAGACTGATAAAAATACAAAAATATAAATAAAACTAAAAAATCAAAAATCACAGACTAAAGTTTTTAACTCCGACGTTTCGCCGCACCAATAAAAACGTGCGGCGTTTTCAAAGGTTATTTTGTCTTCTCACGTAAACGTTGTGAGCGCCTCACCACGACTCGTTTTTATTGGTGCAGCGAAACGTCAGAGTTGAGAACTTAAGTCTGTGATTTTATATTTAGTTTTATTTATATTTTTGTATTTTTATCAGTGTGTATGTGCAATGAACTGTGATATGACAAGGACTGTGTTCTCCTGATTTCAATAAGGTGAGCGATACCCAAAAATATTTATCATACTGAAGTATTGACCTCACCTAAAATACCATGACGTTTAGAAATAGAATTAAGCTCCCCTAGTAGTTTCTATCGTCTACTCAATTGCCTTCTTTTCTATTGTCCTAGTAGTAGGGATGAGCATCGACATGTCAACCATCTATGTTTACCATCGATGTTTTCGGGGATTTTTCAGTTTTCCGTCTACTCTCTGTACTGTAACATCTAATTGACCTAAAACTAATACAATTAAGTCATGGAAAACATCGATATTTCAATACTTGGGCAAAAACATCGATGTACCAAAAACATCGGTAATCTACGATCACTTTAAAAAACATTGTTTCAAAAACATCGACTATCGATGCTCATCTCCACCTAGTAGTTTTCACATGAGATAGGCCAAGGGCCAACCCACATAACCACATAGAGAATCATCATACATAGCTTACGAGTCTTCACCATGCCGAGTCAGGTCACACAAGCTCTGGCTGGTCTGAACTCTCAGCATGGATACAAAGAGTTGTTTGAATTACTAAGATACTGTGACAGAACCTTAGTTCTGTTACACGTGCTGACAAAACACTTTGACTGTACAAATGCCTTGATTTTCATAGGATTTGTGTATACATTTACTAACCCTGTAGAACAAGGTTTTTTAACAATATTTTAAGAATTATTTCCTAGGATTGTTTTTAATTTGAACAATATTACAGATTTTCAAAAGACTGCAATACTTCCATGTAGGCCTACAAGGTGGAAATGAGCAAAATTATCTGTTCTTGGTCAGTGGTCTTCTCTAATTGTTATTTTAGGCTATACTAACCTCCAACTATTTGATTTGAATTTGCTTAACTTAACTGATACACTTTAAAAATGAACTACTAGCTCTTATTTGAATCGATTAGGACCAAACTGATTTGGACAAAATATTAAGTAATTACCATTCTTCGTTAATGAGCTTTCTAATCTCCCCATGGTGCTTTAATATACAATAATGTCATTTTTTGGAATTTAAAACACATTCACGCCATCAAAATAGAGACAAAACACAAGCGGTACTATTGAGGACAACTGAGCCTTGACTATATTGGACCATAACAAGATCATCAGAGCGTTTCATTGTTTATAAACAGAACCATCGGAGCGTTCGATGCACCAGAATATCTTGCCAAGAAATCCTGTCCAGAAATAAACCGAGGCGTTAAACTTGAACATAAATGTCAGCAAATCACAAACAAAATGACATATCAATGTTGCCAACTAAATTGAACTATCCGTAGTACGAACACTACAAACATAAATAATAATATGGTTATCCGTAACAGACCAAGATAGGAAATACAAAAATAAACACGAAACAAAAGATATTTTGTTCAGTAGTTGCAGGATTATTCATTTGTGTTACTAAAACAAATTGTGTTTGGACAAAAAATTAGTAAAGTACTAAACATTCCTGAAATGATGAAGCCAATTACGCATAACTTACAAGCAAAATTTAAATTATGTAAAACATTTTCAACTATTTAGATTGATTTACACAAGTTGAAGCAATAAAAGCTATAGATGAATTATTTAAGATATCAGCAAAAAGTATTTAGAAAAACTTTTCTCTTAACAAAGCTCACTGTATATAAATTAGACCCTTACTAAAAATGAATCAACATAAGGCAGGTATATAGGACAAATTCCAGTTATTGACTTCAAAATATATAAAAAAATCATGGTTTAAAAAATCATAAAAATTATTGGACTACTTATGAACTTTACCTAGATAGATTTAGTAACGGCATGTCTATTTTTTGCTTATATAAGTAATTTTAGATTTTATGATACTGATCTAGATTTTTTGGATACTCAGATTTTTTTCTGGAAGCATAAACTATTATTGGGTTTTAAGCTACACTACATTTTATCAAACGAAAAAAAAAAAGAATGTTAGCTGTGTCTAGTTTTTGTAGTAGTAGTTAGTTTAACTATCATAGTTTTCTCAGAAGGTTGTGTGTATCATTCTAACATTTAACAGCCAACAACATTAAAAAAGTACACCTACAACTTATAAACCCTTCCATTTTTGAAACCTAATAGCTCCTTAGTATATTGGTATTACACTCACAGAACCAGTTATTCATCAACGGCCTATCAGGAAGCTGTCAAAAGGTAGCAGGCCTTGGACACAATGGGAGCTGATCCAAGGTTGTACAGATTGCAACTGCATTTCCTTGTAATACAACAGTAAACACACGTAGAGCTCTTTTAAATAATTAAAACTAAATGAGCAATATTATGTACCGAACTGAAAGTTACTCCTTTTCCGATCTAAGAGATAAACACCCTTTTCCCCAACTAGTAGGCTACCTATCCAAGATTTTCCACTAATAGTGCTAAAAATTAATTTGCTATATAAAAAATATATATTTGTAACAAATGTAGGACTAAATTACAGATGATATTGTTATTATCGTAAGTGAAAAAGAATAACTTTGAACTTAGGCCTATATCTGTACACTGTCATGAAGGAGAGCAGATAGAAGCATTAACTTTGGGATTGCTATCAATCATATCCTACAATTATCAATCATTAAGATGGGGACGCCACTTAGGTGTGTATTTTAACCCAAATATGAGTGAAAGATGAGTGTAGAATGGTGTGTGATGATCTGTGTAGCTTTGTTACTGACTAAGATCAGCTGTTTCATTAGCCAGGATCATTTATTTAAAGCCCAATGATCAGGAACAGCTGGGTCCAATTGGATCACAATCTCTAATGCTCTGAACTAGGCTGGTTTTCGTCTGACTACCTGATGCAGTAACCGCGCTACTGCAGCTATATACTAACAGAGCTAGGCTACCATGTTTTTACTGATAAAACTGACATATCTTTATTGAAATTTGCTCGCTTCAAATGTGGGTTCACCCTACTCTTCATAAAAGTTAACTTAAGTTAGATTTTAGAGGCCATTTTATATCAGAATGTTAGAACCAAATTAACTTAGATTAGCTTATATAAAATCTATATGGTACAATAGTCTAAGTTAATATCAATTTAACATCATATTGCTAAGTTATGCTGTCAGTGTTTTACGGTTAACTTATTCTATTGTTTATATAGGATACTGTTATTTTCCATTTAAGTTTATTAAATTTATAGAGTGCCGTAACTTACTATACTTAATGTGGGTACGCTTACATATCTGTTACCACAAACAACCGAATGAGTAATATTGATTATTCTATTGTTTAATTTGATATATCGTTTGGTTTAGGTTAGGTTAACCTTACCTAACTAACAGAACGATATTCCCTACATTACTCATTCGGTTGTTTGTGCCAACAGATATGGAAGTGTATCCCTTAATATGCATGTTGTGTGTATTTATTATTATTATTATTGTTTAAGCAAAGACAAGGCAACCCTGAAAATACAAAAGTTAAGCTATGTAAGTTTACATTACAATACCTGACTTACCTAGCCTACTAAATAACGTAATTTACAAAAACTAATGTTATAATAACTTATAGGCTACAAAAGAAATCTTAGGCGCATTTTCTTCGATTATTAATCCTTCATTATAGATATTTTCATAATCAGCAAGTTTGGTCAGGTTAGGTTACTGTAACAGTGTTACCCCATTTTACAAATGATAGCCTGTAAGCTATCCAAAGGATAACCATATTTTAAATTGATATTAGGGTAACCCAGTTAAGAAAGTTTACCGGAAATGTCCATTCCCTATTACAAATATCAGGAGTAGGCCTAGGCCAAGACCTACCTACACTCTAGAATTACTTTATGAGCAAAAATACTAGGCCTATCTAATTTATCTTGTTCACTCACTGGATTGTATCTTACTTAAGAACCTATTGAATCAAGTGACACTAACCTTTGCGTTAAAATCTGCAGCCCCTGTAGCTGCTTTGGTTGCATCTTTGTTCAAAGCAACCCCCCAAACAGCTCCCTTGTGGCCTTCAAAAGTACCGATCCAGTCTCCAGTATCACCTTGCCGCAACATGGGTTTTCCATCTGAAAACAAAGTTATGGAACGTTAAGTCTAAAGTGAATAAAAATAAAACATTGTTTAAAATGCATTTAAATAGCATACAAACTAATTAGATTAACCGAACAAGCCGATAGTCTAATATAGGCCAAGGTAACCATGACTTAAGTTACTAACCTTTGCACGCTGATATCAAGAAGTATCCACATTCAGTGATGTCACTAAAGGCTAAATTGACGACTGGACGAGTATGGCCACTGCAAGTTAAAGGAGTTTGTCTTAAATTTGCCATTTTGATTAAAATAACCAACTAATCTAAACCGAACGGTGTTGTTATCGGTATCTCCGCTGTAGGAAAACGCGTATTACAGCGAGTAAACTGACCTACTACTACATCGGGTGTTCACGGCCGACTAAATTATGAACAGACAGAATAGAGAATGACAGAAAAACATAGATAGCTCAGCTGTTTTACAGCAGACAGCCACAGGAACAGGCTGGCCACAACCACAAGCAGTAATTTATATAACTACGAAGGGCGACGATTTTAGTCTGTAACGCCTTTGGGTGTATATATTACATAAAAGCATTTTTTTTTGCTAAAGAAGGAAAATTACGGAGCTCTTGATTAGTGTGAGTATGGGCTGGATGCTATAGATTAAACAGATCTTTTAATGCTGTTAATGCATTTTGCTTGTGTCTACGAAAGTAGCACCTTTATAAACGCTATTAGGGAAATTGGTCCAAAACCATTAAAGCTTGGAGGATGAGCCAATAATTGAACCCGTCCCTCTCGCATGGAGGTCCGATGCTCTGTTCTACAACCACTAGGCAATAGACAATTTATTCATCGTTCGGTAATTAAACAATTACAATGGATTTTGTCAAACAGAATATATAAAATAAAAGCTAGTTTTCCAAATCTAGATAACTGTTTATGAATTTAACGTAAAAAAATCATCTATATCGTACAGTGGATTGATTTTGCACCACTTTAACGGTTTGTTAGAGAATACATTTAGAGGCAAAGAGCTGAAATCAACAGGATAGGCTAGCAACACACCCGCTAAAGGTAGGGATGCACAAAATATTACTCGACTCTGCCTACGAAAGTTGGGTTGAACCGTAGAGTTCTGAGTAGAGTACCCGGTGCACTAGAGGTCGTGTTTTTCGTTTTGTTTACGATTTGTTTCTTGCTGTTCCATAATTAATTGTGCAATTAACTTTTCTTAAATACTCTTTCTTTTTAATTGAGTGTAACGTCTTTTGTTAAATAACCTCTTGATCAGCATTGTACGTGTAATTAAATTTACGGAAAGTAAATAAAAGAAACGTCTTATAACACAAACATATATTTACGCTTATCCTTTTACTCACAAGACGGTAAATATACAAAAAGGTGGTAAGTGGTGATCGATTTCGATTGGACGGACATTCCAATGATCAATAAGCGTAAATATATGTTTTAAGTGTTATATGACGTTTCTTTTATTTACTTTCCACGTCTTTTGTTGGCAAACCTGCTTTGCTTACAGCATACCCCCACCTGAAATTATGCAATTCAATTCCCAAGTCAGCTGTTTTTCTGTTTTGCTTTTGAGAATTTAGATCAGATCAGTCTCAGTTGACTGAGTTGAGTTGAGTGAGTTCAGTTTCAGTTTCGTTTCAGTTGTCAAAATGGTGTTATAGTGGACTGTCAAGGTCGCTCAAATAAGTGAATTTTTTAATGTTACCTTCGTTAATGTTTAATGTGTTTGCAGAAACTATCAAGGGAAACTTAAAAGGACTCATGACCCTACCAAACAGCCAGGCAGATTCTTCCAGCTCTGTGTATTTTGTAAATTTCAATCAGGATTGCACGTAAGTACGCCATCTGTCATAAAGGTTGTTTGGGATTTGTTGTGTGCAAACAAAATGTTTCTTTGTTCATAAAGCTTTTCAAACGCAGTTACTTGAATCAGTTACATTACCTCTTTAGGTTTTGAATGTAGTCCGTAATGGTTATTAATGCTTGTGAGCTGCAACTGCTCGCTCAAAAATATTATTTTTCTAAAGTAGGCTACCAATTTGGATTTTGTTTCCTATCCCTTATAGATTAACTTATGTGTAACGAATACCGAGGAGTCCAGATACTGTAAGTTATCATCTCATGATTAACTTAAAAAGATCTTAATTTATAGATCTTAGGCCTAGGCCTATCCTATGATGTTTAATAATGATCAGGTGCAGTGGTGGCTGCACTTTACTTTAGGTCCTACACTCATTCGAATGAAAATATTGATCGATATAAGACTAAGGTATACCTTATATATTATATATTATTATATAAGGTTAACCTTACCTAACTAACCAAACGATATATCGAATGAAACGATCGAATAATCGATATTTTCATTTGAATGAGTGTAGGACCTAAAGTAAACTGCAGCCGCAGTGGTTCTAGTTACACCACTGCACCATAGCTTAGGGGGGGAGGGGGATTGAGGAGCCCCAACGGGCCCCCCCCCCCCGGAAAGTTTTGAAAAATTAGATCTCCAAACTCACGTTTTCAGACATTCCAGAGGTGTAATCACGTTCAAAAGAACTCCAAAAATCAACCCAATTGAGGTTGTCTCTGGCTGGCCAGAATCAGGAAATAGCAAGTAACTAACTTAAATCATAATCACAACACAACAAATGATCAAATTATCATTAAGTTGTTGTTAATACTGTTAATACTGTTCTATGAAATGGCGACCATACAAAGTAGGTATTTTAAGCCAAGTATGAATGGAGATGAGTGTAGGATGAGTGGCGCGATCTTCTAGTCTTGTTAGTGACTAAGGCCGACATTCCTTAGACACAGCTGTTAACTAATAGCCCATACAGCTAATGGCAACTAAGGGACCTACAGTTTATAGTGGAATCCGAACCACATTTTTGCCTTGGTAATTACGAATTGGTCTAATTATCAGGATAGTACTTCGGATAGTCGTAGTACTCACCCGTGCGGACGTTAATCCACACTGGGGAGTATAGCATCCACAGTGCATGCCTATAAATATCCACAATTCGTGACCTCCTAGTAGCTGGATTACAGGACGACGCCACCCGTCCCAGATATTTTATTTTATCTGTTGTACTGTTAAATCACGTGTAGCCTTCTGAGCTGCACGTGAAGAGCAGTATCTACTGAGTTTTTATTATAAATTGATTTTAACAGGCTGAAAACTTAATATGTTCGAATACATTCAGTAGACCTACGGTGTGGACATTTGTTAAGACACTGGGTCCCACACCTTTCCATATCTGTTGGCACAAACAACCGAATCAGTAATATCGATTATTCGATTTTTTAATTCGATATATCGTTTGGTTAGTTAGGTTAGGTTACCGAACTAACCAAACGATATATCGAATAATCGATACATCGATCGATATTTTCATTCGGCTGTTTGTGCCAACAGATATGGAAGTGTACCCAAGACACTTAAGACACAATCAACAATGAAGATTGACAGTCATAACCGATAATGTGAGAACACCTTTAATTTCTTGTTAGCCTTGATAATAATATTACTTAGTTGGGGAATTTGTGTAGCCTAATATAGTTGGGAAATCTGTTTAATATAGTTGGGAAATCGGTGTAAAATAGTTGGGAAATTCTAAGTGTCTCCCCACAATATTTTCTTCTATCAGTGTTGCCAACCTAATATAAAGATTTTCCATGTAATCGCCACTTGAAATCTCCGATTTTTTTCGCAAAGATTATGAAATTACCCGCAACAAGTCCTGATTGATCCTCTGTGAGCAATGTTCGTTATTAAAGCATTATGGAGTAAAAAAAATGGTTTTCGTGAAATTTGGCATCAACATTTTTTTTAAATGGCCGCCATTTTGAAACGGTTAATGATTTTTTAGTATAATTTCTAACAATAATAGGTCTTATTAAGATTAACATTTTTGCAAAATATCAAAGCTGTATCTCAAACCGTTTAGGAGTTATTAGTTTTTTTAAAAAAAAAACACATAAATACTGACAGTCGGTAAACTAGACACCACAGACCCATGTTCCTATGGTGTTTGTGTTTGTCTTGACCTAAGGAATAGCGCTATATACAAGTGTCCAGTGAGTTACGGGACACCCTGCATATTTCTACGCCAACCCCGTAAAAAATACGAGTACTCTGCTAGTAAAGAATAAATCTGTTAATTTTAAACAGATATTTTAGTAGGCTATATACAATCCAGCCAGATAAAGGGAAATTCGCTTAGTCTGCAGGTTTGCTGCGGTAGGGGTATTTTATAAATCGATGACTGCTCATATTACACATTAGGCCCAACCATACATTTAATTATGGTCGATATTTTAACCAACAGGGACATAGGGAGCGTCAGGTGTCCGTTGTTTATTCTCATTAGTGGAGATGAAGAAGCCTTACTCCGTCCAGGGCTTCTGTTACTCATGTGTGACTTGCAAAACTGAAATTTACCACATTTGTGAATGACGTAACCAATTAAACTGGTTAATGGCAGAAGATCGGGGAAGAAATGTGATAACCCTTTGGAAGCTAGAATTTGTTTGTAATTCCAAAAAATGCTACAGTTATTTACTTATTTTGTCCAAAAAGTGCTAGGTTTGCCACGGGAAAAAAGTCTAGTGTGCGAGGAAAAAAATTGGTACCGGTAACTTAAAAATAAAATTTTTTATCTCAAAAGTGCCAAGGATCGATATATTTTGGGTCTCGATCAATTGAGGAATTAAAAGAAACCATCGCTGTTTTGAAACAACAACCGATCCAGATATAGATAGGGCCTATGAGATATACATATGAATTAGATTTATATGATAAATTTTTAGGGGTCGATCTGCTGAATACAAAAATCCAACAAATTCTTTTAATAATATACTTGTATACTGATAAATTTCATGCTTGGGTTTTTATTATTTCTTTGTTTGGAATCCATGTGGGTTAAAGTAGAAAGAACTCCAGTCCAGGTGTAGAATAATAACAGCTGACAGCTGCCAAGCACATTGTTGATCAGCTGGCAATGGAGGGTCAGCTGGTTTTAGAAATCAGCTGTTGTGAGAAGCACTGATCCTTAAGTTAATATTGTTTATGTTATTAAATAGATTATAGACTTTATTGTGTATGAAAAGGAATAAAAGATCAAATATACCTGTATAATGAACACAAGGATTTTAAAGTACTATATACAGTCAATATCAAGGGGAATATGGCGTACCTCACATCTCCAATTGTCCCATATGTAAAAAAAATTATTAATAGTTGGTTGTGTTAAATCCAACCTTTGAAATATAAACATATTATGCAACAAACTTAAAACCAAATTAAGGTTTAACCCTATATGTGACGTAAAAAAGTCAAACAATTTTTCAGATCAAAGCTCTGTCCGAACTTTAACTTTACTGTATCAAAACTGTAGGATAAAATGGTTAACATAATTCAGCAAAATATAACATGTTTAATCACCAAAGTTATTGTGAATTTCCACTGCATTATTAGATTGACCTAGTCTCTACAGCATAAAAACAGCTGATCACTGATAAGAGGTATCTTTTGATGGTCAATTTAATCTTTGTTTTCAACACATCTTTGTTTAAAGTGCAATGTACTTTTTCTAATCTGTTGATGAGGCTTATGTCAGAGCCAGATGGCCAGGAAAATGTGTGGAGCTTATTTTATATGCATTAATTAATTTTTCACTCACACTATGATGTTTTTGGCTGTATTACATACGTTGATTGGTGGCTGAAAGTTACGTTTTGTTGGCCATGCCAGCTGTCATAGTAATTTGGGGACCAAGCAGGTTTTTACAGCCCGGGGCCGCAAAATCAGCTGTCCGCTTACTTACTCAAAACATGAATGCATTAAATACACAATCAAAATCCATAGCATTGCAATAGAATTGTGTTATTGTCACCGTTGCCTAGCAACTATTTATTTTTATTTTTGCTGATTCCTCAAATTATTTCTTCACATAACCTTAAAGTTTTAGTTGTGTTGACTACCATTGTGCATTATTATATATAGTGGTGAATAGTGGTAATACTGTATAGTGTGGTGAAAAATAGCGTTCGTACCACGGACCGAAATGGTTTTGCAGCTCTCGATCGATTTAAAAACTATCTCGAGCCGGCAAAACCTCATTTTCGGCCCTAGGTACGAAATATACTATAACTGTTATATTAATTTGTTATTCCTTCTGAAAACTGTAATTGTAGTATCGTCTTTACAAAATAGTAGAAATGTTCTGCTTGTCCAAAATCAAATACACACAAAGACGTCACTTCGAAAACCACTTTTTTGGGTTCAGGGGACCCAAAAACGGATATATCCACTCAAAACTCATTTGGCAAAAACAAGACAAAGCTACCAAAAAATTATGAAGATTTTTCAATTTCATAAAACAAAATGGCGGCTATTTAAAATTTTGTTTCTTAAATAACTCAAAAACCGTTGATTTTACAAACATGTTATAAGAATTACTTTTTTTAGGCAATTTTATTACAAATCGATTGACACCTTATTTATTATGATTGGACGAGTATTAACTGAGATATTGCAAATTTCGTGATACGTGACTTTCTTTCGTCATGCACTGCAACTAACCTCCAGCTGATCTAAAACTGCCATATTTTAGTTAACACTCGTCCAATCTTTAAAAATAAGGTGTCAATCGATTTGTAATAAAATTGCCTTAAAAAGTTATTCTTGTAAGATCTTTGTAAAATCAACCGTTTTTGAGTTATTTAAGAAACACATTTTTAAATGGCTGCCATTTTGATTTATGATTTTGAAAAATTGTAATAATTTGTTGGTAGCTTTGTTCAAATGTCATTAATGTTTGTGCAAAGT